CGTTTTCGGTACCAATACCCGATTTTAGCCATTCTGTTATATAATTATGATAACATTTATCATAATCTTAAATAAGTATTGTAGAAATTCAGATTTTTTTAATTAGTGGAAGTCTTCTAGATGATGGATTAAATTTAAATATAAAAGACAACAAAATCCTACTTAACCAATACAACTCTCTTCTCTCTTACACACACCATCACTCCACTACCTCAAAAATCCAGCCATCTCCCTCTCTCTTCCTACCCTCTCTTCATTTCTTTCATTAAATAACACTCTCCACTCACTCCATCAACTCATTCTCTCATTTTACTCTCTCTCTCTGCAACGTTTTCTCTCAAACTCTCTAATCACTCTCTAGAAATCCTCCTACTTCTCTCTACAATTCCTTTTTACATTCAAGAGTTCATAAATATTTCAAGATCATCTAAGGTAAATTTTGTTTATGTTCTTCATCTAAAACTCTTTTTCAAACTATCTTCTTCTCCTAACGTTGGTAGATGCATCAACCATGCATTTATGCTATGGAAACCATCTACGACCAACCAAAGTTGGGATTTTCTTTAAAATAATTGTTATATCATCTTACATATTAGAATGGGACTACCCTCATTGTAAGATGATRTAAATTTTTACTCATCAAAATGCAATAAGAGTTGTTTTTCCCTCATTGCATGTCATTAATTCTTACATTTTTAGAGTTTGGATCATCTTATGCAATATGTAAGGTTTAACCTACATTGCATTCTCTTAATCCTGCATCCATTCTTGATCTTCTTCACATTTTGTACAAAAGAATAACTTTTGATAAACTCAATACACATGCAAAAATCGGCCATCAGCTTTTGGCAGAATCTGACCTTGACTTTGGGGAGGCATATCTTACTCATAAAATGTCCAAATAACATGATTCTTTTTTTTTTAAATCAATTTCATTGAGTTAGCTATCAAACCCCACTGGTCATTCTTAAAAATTCCAAGTTTAAGACCCCCAAATAGTCTGTACAAAAAGGTTGCACAATAACTCAACTTACTGTCGAGACTTTAAAAAGTCTACTGTTTGAAGGACTTGTACTTTTCTAAAAATCTTGAAATCTGGACAGTAGGTACTAGACTCATTGTGCTAAAACATATCAAAATTTCATAATTTTTGGAGTTTAATAGAGGACCCAAATGCATGACCATCTTACCAACCCCGAACGTGATTTCGATACCGAAAATCATTGTTTTGCAATAAATCTACAAAGTTGCTAAAAATCTCTCGCATGCAAGATAAAATCTTGTTGAACCTTAAAAATGTGATCAAATAAGGGACTCATTAAAATACTTTGTTTGATTAGGATCGGGAAGCGGTGACACCTTGCCAACTCGAGAATTCTCGAACTCGTAAACTCGGTGAGTTATGGCCCCTTTTTAACCTATTTTTAGCATTTTCGGGGTGAAAAGCATGATTAAAACACTTTAAATTTACCGGTTGATATATGTTGGAAACTTTATTTCGTTGGAACTACCTTTATGCCGAATTTATTATTCTGTTGGAACCTATATGTAGTTGGAAACCTATTTTTGGAAACTATATAATCGCTGCGACGATTATTTTGTGAGAACTATATTTTGCTATGATATGCATGTTTTGGATATATAGATGAATGGGTTRTTTATTTATCGCATGGGAAGTCCTCGTACATGTAACACTACTATATTAACTCACGGGTTGTGAGCCGGTAGTATTTATGGATAGCGCTATAGGATTGACAATCCCACCTCATCCGTACATTGTGCGACGGGGGGTGCATAAATTACTTTTTGGTAACTATATCGGTCTGGTTGGCGATAAGACCAGACCATGCGGGGCATGGAAACTATGTCAGCAGGCTTTAGTAGTGGCCCTTTACTATATGTATATCTTAAGCATGCAATGCGCAATATCATAAGCAATGGAACTATGGATGGGATAAACCCACTTTTGTACGACCATTGATTTCGTTCCAACACTTATTTATCAAAACCTGTAAACTCACCAACTATGATGTTAGTTGACCGTTTCTCACACGCTTTTCAGGCGGTCAAAAGTAAGAGTCGTCATGGTGCTTGGATGTGTGTGGAATCTTATTTCATCAAAAGCTTGGACTCTCGTTGGACTTAAAATTTTGAATTTTCTTTATTTTTTTTGTAACTAATCGATGAATTATGTAAACCGTACCATGTAACTTTTGTACTGTTATCAATGGTGTATGTTTTTCTTTTGTCTTGTGCCATGCATACTTGCTCTGTAACATCCCGTAGAATCCGCTGCGGCGGGGTGTGACAGACTTGGTATCAGAGCCAAGGCTATAGAGAATGACGGTTTCCCCTAGGAAAACCTACACTATAGTCAACATACAACTAGTATAGTTAGCCTAGCTTCGCATAGTAGTTCTTAATTAAACAGAGCCTGATCACCTGTGTTTAATTAAGAAATATTAATGGGGAACTAGGAATAATTATAGTAGGAGTATGAAAATTTTAATAAAAAAAATATAAATTTGCATGCATGGCATTTGTGCGTCATCACTGTGCATACGTACTTTGTGGAGCGCTGTATGGACTTGATATCACTACGGACACTATTGCGTTAGCATTAGAGTATCACTAATGTCGAAAATTATGTACTAACGGACAATATAAACACTCCAGTCGCTATGGCACCATCCGTAACAAGGGCTTAATCGGAAGAGGGCCCGTCTGAACATTCCGAATCATCTATCAAAGTGACGAGCAATAGTATATCCACTAATTCGTACCCGGTCCCCCCTACTACAGTTATACCTCAACCTCCACCGGTAAACCCAGCCCCAGAACCAATGTACCCAGGGCCTTGTACTAAGGTAACGGCTCGAAAAGAGTCGCTCTCCCAGTCCGAAGTGGGATTACCATACCCCATGACTTCATGGCCGGACCCTCCTGCTTTTCCCCGAGAGCATCGACCTCAAGGAATCCAGGAGCACCAACCGAAGAGACCTTGAGGTTGAGCACTCTTGAGAGTGAGATTAGGAGCTACCAGGGTAGGGTGAATAGCCAGGACCAGGCTATACTAAGGCTGACCGAAGTAGCACACCTATTGGAGCAAGGCATGATCTAGGCTATTCAGAGGACCACAGAGGTTACCAGGGCGGCAAGAAGGATGGAGCTGTGGTGCCGGACGGTGACGATTCTGGTGGCGATATTGATTCTCGTGCTTGTGACCCTTGTGCTTCGTAGCTCTTAGAATTTTCTGTCATGTATTCCAATTTCCCTCCTTTAAGTTCATGCATTGTAATCATGTGATAACGTCAAATTTTGAAAAAAGATTACGTGAAGATATTAATTGCTTGTTTAAAATTTCCTATTTCAGTCCATACATGAAAAGCTATTCCCTGTTTTATTTTTCCAATAAACTGTTATAAAGAGGGAAAACCTTCATTGCAAAATATATATATATATATATATATATACAACCCTAACCCAACCTTTTCTTTCAAGTGATTTAGAACCATGTCAACAAGGAACAACCGAAGCACGGAAGGGGCCCCTGAGAATCGATCACCAGACATTGCTCAGCTCATAGCCCAACAGGTTCGAGATGCCATCCCTAGCATTGTCACTCAAGTTACCGCCAGCATCAACAACCATCGAAGAATTGATGGAGATCAGAGTGGCAGTGATCGAGGATGCACCTACAAGACTTTTATGTCTTGTAAGCCTAAAGAGTTTTACGGCAAGGAAGGTGCCGTAGGATTATTGTCCTGGTTTGACAGCATGGAGTCTGTACTCCATATTAGTAAGTGCTCGGAGGATTGTAAGGTGGAATATGCGGCATGTCAACTGCAAGGCAGGGCTCTCACTTGGTGGAATATCCAAGTGCAAACCACGGGTTGAGAAGTGGCGTACAATTTGTCATGGGAAGATTTCAAGAAACTACTCATAGAGGAATACTGCTCTAAGAGTGAGGTGCAAAAACTGGAAGCAGAATTCTGGAACCATACCATGAAGGGCATGGATGTGGACACGTATACAACACGTTTCCATGAACTTGCAAGCTTGTTCCACACATGGTGACTCCGGAAGAGAAAAGGATTGATAGGTACATTTTAGGACTGGCTCCTGAGATCCGAGGGATGGTGACATCCGCTAACCCCGCAACCATCCAAAGCGCGGTGGTTTTAGCAAGTCGCTTAACCAACGATGCTGTTAGAGCAGGAGCAGTAGTCAAGGTGAATGTAGGTGGGAAAAGGAAATCGGAAGATCAACTAGGACGGAAGACCAGCGGTAGTTCGAAGCGGAGCTCGCAATTAGTTAGGAACTTTGGAGTAAGGGCACAAGGGCAAGGAACATACATGGGTTCCTTACCAAAATGTAACAAGTGCAACCGTCACCACCGCGGAACTTGTCTTCGGTGTGCGAAGTGTAATCAGCTAGGACACACCGCACAGTACTGTAGGAAGGAAGGAGAAACTCATAGTGAAAGGAAGAGATGCTTCGAATGTGGAAGTCAGGACCATTTTAGGGACAGATGTCCTAAGTTGAGGACAGGACCGAGGAGCAACATCAGTGGAAGTCAAGGAAGTCGCACCACTTCAGTGAGTCAAGGAATGCAAGCTCGAGGAAAGGCTTTTGTGATTGGAGCTGAAGAGGCACGTCATGATCCCAATGTGGTAACCGGTACGTTTCTTTTAAATGACCATTATGCATCGGTGATTTTTGACTCTGGTGCCGATAGAAGTTTTGTTTCCTTAGACTTTAGGCCCCTGATTCACTTAAACTCTAAAAGACTAGATGAAGCGTACACCATAGAAATGGTTGACGGACGAAAGTTCGAGGCTTGTGATGTAATTCCTGATTGCACTTTAGGCCTAGCTGATAGGTTGTTTAGTATAGATCTCATTCCGATCGAGTTAGGAAGTTTTGATGTAGTTATAGGCATGGATTGGTTGTCACTAAATAGAGCTCAAATAGGCAGTTATGAGAAAGTTGTAAGGTTTCCATTACAAGGCGGGGAGACACTCATAGTCCAAGGCGAAACACCTGAGAGAAGCCTTAGGATAGTATCCTGTATGAAGATTCATAGCTACTTGAGGAAGAAGTACCTGGCGTTTTTAGCCCAGGTGACAGAAAAGAAACCTGAAGGGAAGAAACTTGAGGACATTTCGGTAGTACGACATTATCCTGAGGTGTTTCCGGACGAGTTGCCCGGACTACCTCCACCAAGGCAGGTCGAGTTCCAAATCGACTTAATTCCTGGAGCAGCACCGGTTGCCAAAGCACCATACCGCTTAGCATCGGCAGAAATGCAGGAGTTGTCAAACCAGATACAGGATTTACTAGAAAAAGGATTTATTCAGCCAAGCTCTTCACCCTGGGGAGCACCTGTATTATTCGTTAAGAAAAAGGATGGATCCCTCAGAATGTGTATAGACTATAGGGAGCTGAACAAGTTGACTATTAAGAATCATTATCCACTCCCTAGGATAGACGATTTGTTTGATCAGCTTCAAGGCGCTAGCTTCTTTTTTAAGATCGATCTACGGTCAGGTTATCACCAGCTGAGAGTCCATGTAAAGGATGTTCCTAAGACGGCGTTCAGGACACGCTACGGACATTATGAATTTATGGTTATGCCCTTCGGACTCACGAATGCTCCAGCCATATTTATGGATCTGATGAATAGAGTATGCAGACCATACCCAGACAAGTTTGTAATCATGTTCATCGATGACATACTAATCTACTCCCGAAGCAAAGAAGATCATGAGCAACATTTAAAGGTGATACTAGAGTTACTTAGGGACCAGAAATTGTATGCCAAATTCTCAAAGTGTGGATTTTGGATTCGAGAAGTACATCTTCTTGGGCACATGGTTGGTGAGAAAGGGATACACGTGGACCCAGTAAAGGTTGAAGCAATCAAGAAATGGGAGACCCCGAAAACGCAGACAGAAATCCGTCAATTCTTAGGATTGGCCGGATATTACAGGAAATTTATCGAAGGGTTTTTGAAGATCGCACAACCATTGACGACGTTAACCCAGAAGGACAAGAAGTTTGAGTGGGGACAACGACAAGAGGACGCTTTTCAACTAGTAAAGCAGATGTTGTGCGATGCGCCAATTCTAGCCTTGCCGGAAGGGACATAAAATTTTGTAGTGTATTGTGATGCGTCTCATCAGGGATTGGGATGTGTGTTGATGCAAAAGGATAAAGTTATCGCCTACGCATCCAGGCAGTTTAAGGTTTACGAGCGAAACTACACTACTCATGATCTAGAACTAGAAGCAGTGGTCTTTGCACTTAAAATTTGGAGACACTACCTGTATGGTACAAAGTGCACCGTGTATACATACCACAAAAGTCTTCAACACATCCTTGACCAGAAAAWKYTCAACATGAGACAGCGAAGATGGGTGGAATTACTTAGTGATTATGATTGTGAAATCAAATACCACCCAGGAAAGGCCAATGTAGTGGCTGATGCACTAAGCCGCAAGGAAAGGATAAAACCCTTACGAGTGCGAGCRCTGGAAATGCTTGTGCAAACTAGTTTAAAAACTCGCATTYGTGAAGCTCAAGAAGAGGCGCTAAAGGATGAGAAGTTAAAGGATGAAACTCTTCATCACCTAGAAGGAAAGTTTGACCTTAAGACCGATGGTGTGCAATACTTAAAGGGAAGAGTTTGGGTACCAAAGTTTGGCGATTTGCGAGAACTGATTTTATCTGAAGCTCATAAGTCGCGGTATTCCGTTCATCCTGGAGCGGATAAGATGTATAAGGACCTAAAGGAGTATTATTGGTTGCCGAGAATGAAGATAGATGTGGCGTTGTATGTTGGAAAATGCTTAACCTGTTCAAAAGTCAAGGCTGAGAATCAGAAACCATCAGGTCTATTGCAACAGCCAGAAATCCCGCAATGGAAGTGGGAGCGGATTTCTATGGATTTGGTGACTAAGTTACCCAAAACTGCAAGAGGGCATGATGCAATTTGGGTAATAGTTGACCGCCTAACAAAGTCAGCGCATTTTCTACCTATGCGGGAGGACTATAAGATGGAAAAACTTGCGCAAATCTACATCAACGAGGTGGTTTCCTGTCATGGGGTACCCATCTCCATTATCTCCGATAGGGACAGTCGCTTCACATCACGATTTTGGCAGTCATTGCACAAAGCATTAGGATCTCGTTTGGATTGGAGCACGACATATCACCCGCAGACAGATGGTCAAAATGAGAGAACTATCCAGACATTGGAAGATATGTTGCACGCATGCGTTATGGATTTTGGAGGAAACTGGGATAACCATTTGCCGTTGGTAGAGTTTTCCTACAATAACAGTTATCATACTAGTATCCAGTGTGCCCCCCTATGAAGCCTTGTATGGTCGAAAATGTTGATCCCCACTTAGTTGGGTGGAAATCGGGAATAGTCAACTGACAGGACTCGAGGTAATTCAAGAGACGACCGATAAAATTATTATCATCAGAGATAGACTCAAGGCTGCTAGGGATCGTCAGAAAAGTTATGCTGATAACCGTAGGAAACCATTGGAATTCCAGGTGGGAGACAAGGTGCTTTTGAAAGTATCCCCTTGGAAAGGTTTAGTGCGGTTTGGTAAAAGAGGTAAATTGAGCCCTAGGTACATTGGACCCTTTGAAGTTATTGACAAAGTTGGTCCCTTCGCGTATAAGCTCAAGTTACCTGAAGAGATGAGCGAGATTCATGGCACGTTTCACATTTCGAATCTTAAAAAGTGTTTAGCCGACGAATCTCAAATCGTTCCCTTGGATGAAATTCAAGTAGACAAAACTCTTCACTTTGTTGAAGAACCAGAAGAGATACTCCACAGGGAAGTTAAGCAGCTCAAAAGGAGTAAAATCCCGATCGTCAAGGTTCACTGGAAATCCAGGCGTGGACCGGAATACACTTGGGAACGTGAGGATTTTATGAAACAGAAATACCCTCATCTCTTTACTAGAACGGGTGGCCGCATGTGAAAAAAAAAATTGAATTTCGGGACGAAATTATTTTAACCGGGGGAGACTGTGACAACCCTCAACTTTCCACCTCAGGTTAGCACTTACTTTAACTGATTTTATTAATGGAACAGGGTTTTGTACAACGATTATATTAACATTATATCCCAAATAGTTAATTTTGGTAAATTATAGCTCAATATATTGCCTTTGGCATTTTCATGACAACTTTGGGTTCTGCGCGCGCAACTGATTTAACAATATTGGCAGGTCCCGATTCTGCCTATCAGACTGATAAGACAAGATCATAAAATGATGTTAAAATTATTCAATTTACATGAGTTCCCTTAAGAAAATTAAGAAAAAAAACTGCATTTTGTTACGCAAAAAGCGTGAAAAATGCCCGTTTTCGGTACCRATACCCGATTTTAGCCATTCTGTTATATAATTATGATAACATTTATCATAATCTTAAATAAGTATTGTAGAAATTCATATTTTTTTTAATTAGTG